GCAAAGTGACTTATTTGCTGTAAAAGCCGACGAAATGGTGTCATATGTGAGTTTTTATGGGTTTTTACTGTGCAGCGCAACAGCGCTGCTACAGCCAGCAAAAACGCATGTTATTGAGAGGTCGTCTGTGTGTATGTTCGGAAGCGAGTGAACTTTGTCACCCATTTTCATCTCAGCAACCAAGAAAGTTAGGAGGCTGAAATTTCGGATGTATGTTCCTACCTCGTGTGTCATCCTCCCATTTTAAAATTTTCGCTCATCCGCGCCTAAATCCCGCGTACAGGCCCCGAGAAAAATATGCAGACTTCTTTGGTGGGAAACAATTTCGCGAACCAAGGTACAAATCTGAAACTTTGCAGGGATGTTCTCTATTCATGTGCGAGCTAAAGATTTTAACTTCAGCTTTCGCATGCGCTTGTGCAGCGCCTACGATCACGTCGAAGTTTGCAGCTTGGTACTGTACTAACTCGGAAACTTGCCGGAAAACAGTGCCTGAAATTTCGTCAGCATGTGGTCACCCATACGGGAAATCGTATACCTAAATTGAGCTCGATTTGCACTTGCGCCGACTTAGGACACTTCAGAGATATTTTTAGCGAAATGGCTGTTTTGCTTGCGGGATAAGATGCGAGACTGAAACTTCGCTGGGATATTCTACTTTCAAGTGCGATCTAATTCCTTGCAGGTGGACATGAAAAATACTCAGCTTTAATGAGAAATCAGAAGCGTGTACGTTTTGCAACGAACGACCGCCCTCATCTAAATGTGCAAATGAATATTCATTTCGTTTGCATACTTGGATTTTTTACCGAATAACCGCTGCCAGCAACATTTCCACTTTTTGATGAACTAGGAATTTGCGTTTTTTAAAAAAAGCGAGTACTTACCGAAAAAACGACCGGGTTTCATGCAAAAAACTAATAGCCATGTACTTGGAGGCCCACGCTGTGCTATAATGCAACACCTTCATTCCACCGGCGCCCTTTCTGCCGCGTGTTGGAAGAGACCAAAACACGGCCAATATGAGCCCAATTGTTAGGCTACAGCGCAGGGATCATTCCTGCTATTAACGACCTTCGAGTTTAGTACAAAAACGCATGATCGCACTGGCAAGCCTGCTTTTTTTCTGAGATTTGATAAATGTGGTGAGATACTGCTGACGATATCGCCACTCCCAACTCAGAATTCGATCACTGCCATTAAGTGCTAGAGGAGAACTTGTTGGGATGAATGGAAGGTAAGGAAATTATTTTGGTAATTTCTGAGCTGCATAAAGCAAGTGTCAGCGTTTGAATCGTTTGGTGAGATAATTATTGCTAATTAAACTCATCAAAACTGGCGAATATCAAAAAATGAAGTAGCCTTTAACGGTAATTTGTCGGTGCTCATTCAACAAGAATTGACTTGCTACACTAAATTTCTGTTTATGGATTTAGCAGCACTTTGTGATCGCTGAAGCTTGCAACTTGTTATTCGCTTTTTTTGCAGTCAAGTGAGCTTGGGACGCTGGAAGAGACGAACATGGATGACGAGGCGGAAAAGTGGGATACGCAAATTGACATTGATGGAGTGGATAGTGTACTGCGTGAAGTAAGTAACTCTGTGTTGTAAATGTTGCGAGATTTAAAATTTTTCATCTTGGAAAAATTTGCAGTGAGCTTGTATTGAAAATGGGCTCGGAAAAAAAGTAAAAACTAATATTAACGAGGTGATGTAGGACTACTAAGTGTTTTTAATTTTTTTTTAAAAATTTGCGTCTTTCATTTTCCAAATCGTAGCCATCCTGAACTGGTTGTGTCAGCCGCATGCTTCTGCTCGATCCTCGGTTCAGCGGGAATTCATACTCTGTTCTACAGTTTTGTAGCTGGTAACTTTCCAAGTTGCTTTCACCAGTAACGCATTGGTGGGTGGTCAACCCATTGGCAGTCTTCAACTGAATTTACTACAAAAATGCTTTTTATAATTTGAATTAACTTGAAAGTCTTCAGCCAGAAGTTTAGACGTTTCGCTTACTTTTTAGCGCAATGAAATTTATCATAACTTTTTTTGTATCTACGGCTAACACAAAGATAAATTTGTTGACAAACACTTGGTTTTGCATGTCAAAGAGTGGCACCAAAAAAACGATTTATTTCGATGATATCTGAAAGACTTTTCAGTGAATGTGAACTAGCGTGCGAAAAAACACACTACCTACCGTGTTATTAGAAAATCGACCGGCTGTTTTATTATGCGTTTTTGCTGTGCAGCGCTACAGCGAGCAATAAACGGCAACGCGCACCAGACTAGCCGGTGCGATCATGCGTTTTGTGCAATTCAGCCCATCGA